TTTTTTAAGATTTTATTTATTTATTTGACAGAGAGAGACACAGCAAGAGAGAGAACACAAGCAGGGGGAGTGGGAGAGGGAGAAGCAGGCCTCCCGCCGATCAGGGAGCCCGATGCGGGGCTCGATCCCAGGACTCTGAGATCATGACCTGGGCCGAAGGCAGACGCTTAACGACTGAGTCACCCAGGTGCCCCGATACACATTTTTAAAAAAGATTTTATTTATTTGAGAGAGAGAGAGAGAGAGAGAGCATGGGGGCGGGGAGGGTCAGAGGGAGAAGCAGACTCCCCGCTGAGCAGGGAGCCTGATGTGGACTCTATCCTGGGACTCTGGGATCATGATCTATGCCGAAGGCAGACGGTTAACTGACTGAACCACCCAGGCACCCACAACAGATATAAATTAAAGAATTCATATCCAGAATAAATAAAGAACTCTTCCAATTATTAAGATATAACAGCCCAACAGAACAACGGGCAAAGGAGAACAACAGAAAATTCTTAACATTACTCAAGGCCACTGTATTATGTTGCACGTTGCACCAACTCCAGAGTGTGCTTTTCATACAATGTGAATAGTGCCCCCTAGATTTGCTCAGTGCACAAGCTCTACACTAAAAGATACAATCTTACACTATATGGTTGATGGCCCTGTGAAAATGCAAAGGAAAGTAAACTATGGGATACCATTTCACATTCATCAAATTGGCCAAATTAAGTTGTAACATTTAAAAATGGTAGGGAAGGGGCACCTGGGTGGCTCAGTTGGTGAAGCGTTTGACTCCTGATCTCAGCTCAGGTCTTGATCTTGGGGTCATGAGTTCAAGCCCCATGATGGGCTCCACACCAGGCGTGGAGCCTACTTTAAAAAAAAATGGTAGTGGGGTGCCTGGGTGACTCAGTTAAGTGTCTGCCTTCGGCTGAGGTCATGATCCCAGGGTCCTGGGATCGAGCCCCGCATCAGGCTCCCTGCTCCGCGGGAAGCCTGCTTCTCCCTCTCCTGCTCCCCCTGCTTGTGTTCCCTCTCTCACTGTGTCTCTCTCTCTAATAAATAAATAAATAAAATCTTTAAAAAAAATGGTAGGGAAGATGTGAAATATCTGGAATTCTCATAAACGGTACCATCACATTGGAAAGCAATTTCACAATATCCAGTAAAATTAAAAATGCAGATAACCCATGACCTAGTAAATTCCATGTCTAGGTATATATCCTAGAAATATCCCCACCCATGTACAAGAGACATATCCAAGAATGATCACTGCACCCTTGTTTGCCTCAGCAAAAAATCGGAAACCAGCTAAATGTTCACCAACAGGAGAATGGAGGGGTAACGTGGTATATTCCTACAAAGGAATACTCTACAGCAGCTAAAAAGAATGCACTAGAGGTAGGTATGGCAACATAAATAAATCTCCAAAATGGTGCTTAGGAAGGAAAAAAGCAAGATGCAGAAATATATTCAGCATGTTATCATTTAAAATTTAAAAACATGGGGGGCTCCTGGCTGGCTCAGTCGGTGGAGCGTGCGACTCTCAATCTCATGATCGTGAGTTCGAGCCCCACGTTGGGTGTAGTTTACTTAAAAAAAAAAAAAATCTTTAAAAAATGTAAAAACATGCAAAATAATCGTATGTATTGCTTAAGGATGCAAACTTATGTAATAAAAGTATAAACCATGTCATTGAGGATGGTGACTAACAGAGGGAGGGGAATAGTATCAGGGAGGCCGGGGAGGGGGGTGGTGGTGGTAAATGTTGGGTTTCAAACACAATTAGTCCTGTTTTATTTCTCCAGAAAATAAAAGCTTGAAGCAAATGCAGCAAAATGTTTACTGTTAACTGTATGGTGGGTGTTACTCCTTTTATTGTTATGTGTGAAATATTTCCTAACTTTTTGTTTCTAAGTTACATCTGCAAGAACAGAGACTGGGTCCTTCCCAAAGAAGAACATACAGGTGCCTCCGTTTCTCGCTTCCCTTTCTTTCCTCCGCCCAGGAGAGGCCAGCTCCTACTTCTCTGGCCCTGCACTTGCTGAGGATGCCAAAAATAACCTTGTCCCCCCCAGTGGGGGAGGAGGCAGGGAACAAGGTTCTTAGTTCCTGCCTTCCTTGTCTCTCTTTTCTAGTATAGTCTACCCTTTAGATTACTCCCTTGAAGCTCCTGTCTTCCCTCTGGCCTCCCAGCCACACTCCTTCCCTGTGCTTCTCTACTTGCTCCTAAGCTCTCCAGGGCCTCCAGGGCTCCATCCACACCCCCCTTCTCTTCTCATTCCACCCACATTCCCTCTGGATGATTTTACCCTAACTGAAGTCCTCAAGGACTTCCTGGAAATAGATGCCCCCCCCGCAAATCTCTATCTGCAGCCCATCTCTCCTGACCCCCAAATCAGCCCCTGCAAATACCGCCCCCCTGCCCGGTCCTTATCCCAAGCTAGTACAGAAATCCTAAACTCTGAAACTGAGCCCTGTGTCCCTGGCCTGCAGCTCCTCTCCCCGGGTCCCCTTTCCTGATACATGGCGCCACATTCCGTCCTGTCACCCAGCAGTGACCTGGGAGCATCCTCATTACTCCCTCCTCCTCATTCCCTACCTGCAACCAGCCCATCAGCCTCGCCAGTCCCCTCCTATGGCTCCTAACACAAGCATTGTCTGGGCCTCATCATTTCTCTTTGAATTACTCCAGTAACCCCCGCAACTGTGATCTCTCCGCCACCACCCCTGCCCCTGCCGTTCCAGCCTCCCTGCCGCAGAGGAGAGCGATCCTGCTAAAATGCATTTTCCAGCCCAACACCCTTTTCTCTTAATCCCTGAATGGCGGAGTCATCCGGAGAAAACTGTTCTCCTTCTTGGGATGTACAAAGTCCTCCCTGACTTGCCCAAGTTCCTCTCTAGCCCCTCATACTCTGCCAGGCTCGCTGTGCCTTGCTCTCTACTCTGGCCCGTGTATATGGTGATTTGGGCCCAAATATCCTCTCAAACTGTTCCGCACATACCACCATTTCTCTTTGCTCGCTAACCCGTAATCCTTCCTTCTGCTTTTGCCTCTTTGCTCAAGCGAACCTGGGTCTGTGAGATCTTCCCGCGCCCCTGTCCCAGGTGGGGTGTTTGACCTTGATCAGAGCCACCCTCACACTGTGCTGTTCCACTGTGAAGGCACTTGCCCGTCTTCCCTATCAGACAAGGAGCAATGAGAGGACTGTCCCCTATCCCTGAACCTCAGGTGCATAGCATAATGCCTGGCATAGTGATGGTGTTCAGAAGGCATATGACTGGTCGACCTGGGGCTGAGAGCCTGCTTAAGCGGGAATGCATCTTAACTGTTCGCAGTGGCTGAAACACACTGTGGCTACATGGAGGGCATGGGGCAGTTCTGGGCACCCAGGCACCAGTCCCAAAGGTGGACTGAGGATCTCCAAGGAGAATTTGGAAGGAAGCTGTATCAATTTTCTTTTCTTTCTTTCTTTTTTTTTTTTTAGAGAGTGACCGGAGGGGAGAGGGAGAGGGAGAATCTTAGGCAGACTCCAGACCCCATTGCGGAGCCCTGACGCGGGGCTCCATCTCACAACCCTGAGATCACGACCTGAGCCAGAATCAAGAGTCAGACGCTTAACCAACTGAGCTGCCCAGGCGCCCAGGCTGTTATCAATTTTCTTAATCTCAAAAGACTTGCTCTTCATTAGACCAAAGTTTAGAACACTTTAAAAAGTGCATTTGGTTCCCCTTTTCATCTTTATTTCCTTAGGGAGGAAAACACCAATCCTGGTGGTTGACTCAGGGAGGCAAAGCCACAGGAGTTAGGTGGGAGGATCTACATAGGCCTCTGTGATCAACAGCTTTGCTTCCTCGCCCCCTGTGCAGCTGGAGATGGGCTGCGGCTTCCAGAGGTGGGAATGACGCAGGCAAGCGAACGTGCCAATGCCTGGGATGCAGCAGGAGGCCCCACAAACACTGGCCCAGTAGGCTTCTCCTAGGGACAGTCTCCCGTGTTGATTAGCAAACGCCCTGGGAATCAGGATCAGCAAACTCAAGAGTCACTTATGAGCTGAAATACCAAGGCTGGCATTCTCTGTGTGCCAGGCAGGCAGCCCTCCCCACACCCGTGTTATCCGTGATCTCATCTTCTCCCTGCGACCCTCCAGACGGCGGGAGTGGCGCCCTCATTTCAAAAGTGAGGACGTGGACACTCTGCGAATGTACTGACCTATCCGAGATCACACCACCGGTACATCCTGGAGCCACAGTTCCGACTCAGGCTGATGGCCAAAATCCATCCTTGTTCTGCTAGACCAGAGAATACGCACCAAAGGCCTGTGTCTCTACGTGGCCCCCAGACATGTATGTAACAATCCAACTTTCCTGCTTCTCCTGAAAAAGTTCTTAAGATCTGACGACAATCAGTTGGAACAAAATAATGGCTCCTCACTGGACAAGGAATACACTTCTCAGGTCACTCTACCTACTTTCCTTAAGTTTTCTACTCCTAGAAATACTTGGGTTTGCAACCCCTGCGCCATAGTTTCTGCACCATCCTTTATTTTAGAACAGAATTCCTCCAAAGCGCATGCAGGCAACATACTAACCCATGTGGGCCTTCATCTTTCGTGAAGGACGCCAAGAGGTGGGAGGCACCGTCTGGCCGGCCCGTGTCAGCGCAGGTGAGTGGGCGCTGTCGTCCGGAGGCTGGTTGAGACCGTGCTGCCGCTCTGTCGCCCCGAAGCCTTGATTCTCCCGCTGCCAGCCGGTCTCTCCACCTGGCAGTTATGGATGGGCTGACAGAAGGGTGTTCACAATGGCGCTGGATAAACGAAGAACAAAAAGTATGGCATGAAAATATCAGCTAAGGGGCGCCTGGCTGGCTCAGTCGGTGGAGCATGGGACTCTTGATCTCAGGGTTGTGAGTTCGAGTCCCGTGTTGGTCTTAGAGATTTGAAATTTTTAAAAAATTATGTAAAAAAAAAAGAAAAAGGAAATACCAGCTGAAAAGGTACTCACTGGAGGTCAAAATAGTCCACGGTCGCAGCAATAAAAAAGGAATTGGGTGAAATCTTGGCGGCGATGAGGGAACATACCTCGAGAAGAGCTCTTTTGTCTCAATTAACAGAATCTAATTCAACCAAGACAGGGTGAACTGGATTGAGCATGCACCTATTGTTGAGCAAAGCTTGGGGTGCCCACAGCAGAACTTCTCAGAGATCTCCTGAGGTTGCACAGAAAGGTCTTGTTGTTGAACTGAAGGAAGATGCTGGGAATGGGCTCTGTTATCCTGCTCTGTTGACAGGTTGCTTTCATCACGAAGGGGCCCACCATACCTCTCCCCATGGAGACATTGCTGGGTTTCAATGCGCTTTTCATTCTCTTGGCTGCCTGAGCAAATAGCCATCACTGTTTCCATTGTGAGCTCTTCTCCTCTTGGAGCCAAGCCCAAGTTCAGGGAACATGTGCTTGAGACCAACATTTGGCAGCCTGGGTCCCCACTGGGAGTGACTCTCTGTCTTTGCCTTTTTCCTCTTAAGATACTTTGCTGAATTTGGAGATTGAAACGCAGTGCTGAACATGCTTAGTGCTAAAAGCTGGTTTCTACCCCCTGCTGGCTCACTCGTATAAGGGACAAAAAAATCCACACCCAAATTCAGAACCCAAGTTACTAGCTACGACAAGAATTATTTCCATCTCTCTTATCACCACATGACTGAGGCCATATGTATCTCAAAGCATCAATGGACTCAGGTTCCTGGAGAAAATTTCTCTTTGCATTACTGACCCAATTAAGGATTTTTATGAGAAATCCTACATCACCGTTGAAAAAACCAAGCATCCTAATTGCTGGGACTTCATTTGGTAGAACAGGTGACAGGTTAGAAGTCAGATTACTTTCCCCACATCTGCATATCAAGTAGGGGCAGAGTTGGTACTAGAACATAATTACTTGAATATCCTGATCAGTTTATTCTACAATACCAAATAATAGGACTAGGGTTTGTTTGTTCTTACATTTTTAAGTTGAGGTATAATGACATACAATAGAATGCAGAGATCTTCAGTGTAGAGTTTAATAAATTTTGACAAATGTTTACACCCATGTAATCAACACTTCCATCAAAACAAGACTATTTCCATAATCCTGGAAGTCCCCTTAGGCCTTTTCGCACTCAACCCCCAACCCCCATTCCCCACCAGGCAACAACTACTCTTTGATTTCTATCCCCCTAGATCAGTTTTGTGGCCCCGGTTTTAAGAACTAAAAATTGAACGCATGCAACCTTGCCTGCAGCCGTGAAGCGTGTCTCTGCAGATTTTCCTCCCTTTTTTGGACCACAAGTACCACTTAAGATTTGTTTTGGATCCATCTGGACAGCCTTTCAGGAAGTCAGTCTTAACCCCAGTACAGACACATTTAGGTTTAAAGGGATTTACGTTTTACATGACTTGAAGGCCAACTATGATTCCTCAGCAGGTGGTACAAAAAGAACGCTTCTTTCTGGAAAATCAAGTTTTCTTCAACATATCTGCTTTCTTGGCTCTTTCTGTGTCCCACCTCTCCTTCAGGATAGCTGCCTTTGCATCTATGGGAAGAACTGCGCCAGCCCTTGCGAGCGAGCACATGTACGCTATCTTTCGACTGAGAAGCTGCTTCCTAGCTCCCGTCACCTTCCTGCTGTGCGGGGCCTCCTCTTCCCAGCTCATCTGGCTTCCCGACTCAGCATTCCAAGAGGACAGGCATAGTTGAAAATCTAACGGTGTCCTCAGCCCCTTAAAGGAAACTGGGTTTTAGAAACTGGAAAAGTTGGGCGAAGGCTTGCTCGGAACACTGTCTCCAAGCAAACAAAGGTTGCCAAGGTCCAGGTACAGGCGGCTTTCCACCAGCCACAGACACGACCAAATCAGACGGGGCCTGCTTCTCTTCCAAGCAGCCAGGGCGGGTCATTTTCTCCGTAGTAGCTTCCTTTCCCTAGACAGTGAGCTAATGCTTGGCACCAGCAAACTCCATAAAACGAGGCAGTTAGCCCCATGCTTTCAGGCAGAAATGACTGCATGGAATATATATATACACACAATTATTTCAATCAAGCCACATGTTAAAAATTCTAAAGAAAAAGAATAAAAACTAGGCGCCCACAGACATAACGTTAGAATCCACTTGTGAACCCAGAACAAAAGCAACGCTGGAAACGTACACGCCCCTCAGGAGCCAAACTTCAGAAGAAGGTCTCTTAGATGATTCTGTGGAATTACAAGCAGAGCTGCCTAAAATAGGTTGGAGAGTCTCTCTTCCCTATATAATGTCACTTCTGGGTATTTCCTGGGGTTTTGACTGTTTAAAATAGACTTTTTCCCATTTTTTAAATTTCTAAAACAAGCACGACGATATTAACATGGTTCAAATTTTTAAAATAACAGGGGCGCCTGGGTGGCTCAGTCGTTGAGCGTCTGCCTTCGGCTCGGGTCATGATCCCAGGGTCCTGGGATCGGGCCCCGCGTCGGGCTCCCTGCTCCGTGGGAAGCCTGCTTCTCCCTCTCACACTCCCCCTGCTTGTGTTCCCTCTCTTACTCTCTCTCTGTCAAATAAATAAATAAAATCTTTAAAAAAAAAAATTTTTTTTTAAAATAACAAAATATAAGGGGTATTCGGTGAGAAGTCTCCCTGCCGCTCCTGGGCCCTCCCCATGGGCCCTGTATTTGTATCGAGTCAGAGATAGTTTGGCATATACAAGCAAAACACAGATGTAAACTTCTCACCCTTCTTTTTTATTGAAATGGAATGTACTAATGCTGTCCTGCATTTTGCTTTTTCTTTTTTTTTCCACTCACTGTATTTAGAAACAGAACCTTGAAGATGGATTTCAATAAAGAAAAATTACATGTTCATTTACCTGTTGACCCAGCAAATCCCACTTCTAAGAATCCATCCAAAAGATACCCTGGCAAAAACACAAAATACTGCATGGAGGCTATTCACAGAGCATTTCAAAAAGAAAGAATGAAATGTCCACTAACAACTAATAAAAATGGCTGGTCAGTGCTAGGCCAAGGGACAAACAGGGGAGGGAGAGGACGGGAGACCTCTTTGAATGTACCTTGTTTTTCCCCTGAGTTTTTACTGGTTTTAACTTTGGAATCATCTAAATATTTTACGTAATTTTTTGAAAAGCCACCCCCCGCAAAAAAAAAAAAAAAGCAAAATGAAACCGTTAACTGTGTATAGATTTGGAGCAATAACTACAAGAGGAGCGATTTCAAGTGACTTTATTTCTTTTTAAAGATTTTACTTATTTATTTGAGAGAGAGAGAGAGAAAGAGAGAGAGAGAGAGAGAGCAGGAGCAGGGGGAGGGGCAGACGCAGAGGGAGAAGCAGACTCCCTGCTGAGAAGGAAGCCTGACATGAGGCTCGATCCCAGCACCCTGGGATCATGACCTGAGCCGAAGGCAGACGCTTAACCGACTGAGACTGAGCCACCCCGGCGCCCCCCCTCAAGTGACTTTAAAACACAATCCCTCCATGAGGGTTTCTCCACCTCAGCACTGCTGACATTTGGGCCAGATCATTTATGTTACGGGGTGTGGGCCGTGCAAGCTGCATGTCAGCGGCACCCGAGGTCCGGCCGGCAGCACTCTGTCTGTACAGTCACCCGCCATCACTGGGAGAATTAAGTGCTGTGTGTGCAAGTCCACTGGGAGAGAGTTTGAAAATGGAGGAGGAGAGGACATGCTGGGCCACAAGGAGTCCTTCCTTCTGACAGAGAAGCACCGGAGTTGGTCAGGAGGCAGAGGGAGCGAGGCCATGTGGGCCAGACGTGTTATTTTAAGGGGGAAGGGCGGGATGGGGCAGGGTAAGCAGACTTGGGATTGGCTAGTTGGACTTATTTCAGTGGTGTCTGAGGCACAACAGCTGTCCCTGGTTTTCTGGCACCTGGGCCTGGGGTGGAGAGTGGCCCAGAATGTGAGAGCCACACAGCAGGCGGCTGGGCTATGAGCTCTGGAGTGCGTGGTCGGAATCTTTTACTATCTCTGGGAGTTGGCTAGACTCCTAGGGGCGGTCTCTTGAGGGTAAGAGAGGCCCCAGATGTCAAAGCATCAGGCGCACATGGTTAATACAGGGAGGACAACTGGAATCTTGCACCTGTTTTCTCCTGGACTTAGCCTGAGTGCCTTTTCTCTATGCCAACTTTAGTCTGTACCCTTTCACTGAAATAAACAGTAACTACAACAGCTTTGCTGCATTCTGTGAGTCTGTCCAGTGATTCATCAAACCTGAGGGTGGTCTTGGGGATCCCCGACTCAGCTGCTAAAACCATTAGGTGAAAGGATGATAGGGAACTTCATGGTGGGACAGATAAGGCTGACACCACTGAACCCACAGCTCAGGCACTGAGCGTGGGGCAACCAGATGTTCCTCTTTAGATTATGCAACAGAAGTATGCAGAATCACCTAATAAGGTTTCTTTTTTTTCTTTTTAAGAGTTGTTTCATTTATCTGAGAGAGAGACAGCACGAGCTGGGGGTAGGGGCAGAAGGAGAGGGAGAGGGTGAAGCAGACTCCTGGTTGAGCAAGGAGCCCGATGCAGGACTTGAGCCTAGGACCCTGGGATCATGACCTGAGCCAAAGGCAGATGCTTAACTGACTGAGCCACCCAGGCATTCCCCACCTAAGAAGTTTTCATGTCAAAAAAAAAAAAGAAGTTTTCATGTCAAATCAGCTGAACCTGAATCTGATCAAGCCTCTACACGTAACTGCAAATTTGGAGGAAATATGGGGAAAGAGGAAACTGTTAAACAACACTGGGAGGGAATAAGCAG